GGCCGTGAGCAGACACTGCCCCCGACCCGTGCAGCCGCCCCCTCCACCCACAGTGACCGCAGAGGCAATGGCAGTGTCTTCAGCATCTCAGGACAATTGTCTGCTGGCCAACGTCACGAGACCACGTCCAGCATCGCCAGCCTCATCTGACCGAGCCCTCCTTCCCACCACCTGCCTCAGCCCCCACAGAACTGTGCCTGGACGCAAGTGAGTGTGTGTGTGCACACGTGCACCAAGGGGACGGTGACCGTGTATGAGCATGTGCATGTCCCCAGGACTGTCCAGCCCTCTGAGGGACTGTGTGATGTGTGAGGAAGCGCCCATGTGTTCCCAGACACCCACATCACAGGGAGGGGAATGCTTCTCTTTGGGGCTCACGGAACTGTCAGAGTCTGCCTGGCTGTGTCTGGGGCCTCTAGGCAGAGAAGTGTCTGGGATCCCTGAAGATTCCTGGTCCCTATTCCTAACACCCCTCAAAGCCAACCCCGCCCTGTAACACCCATCAGGGATTTCCCCAGGAGAGGCCCACTGCCCACTCTGAGCCCAGTGAGTCCCCTTCATTGAGGAGCGCGAGCGGTGGCAAAGTGTAAAGGACACAGGCTCCAGAATATCAGGCCTGGACTGGAGAACCCCTTGTATGCTCACCAGCTAGGGGGCTCGGGCCTAACCTCTCTGAGCCCTGGTTTCCTCAAAGTTATGGTCATGGTAATGGTCATGGATTGTGAGGGTCAAATGACATTGTGGACTGGGCACATGGCAGATGTGCAATAAAGTGCTGGCTCCTATTGGTATTGTCTTTACCCATCTCAACTGGAGACCATCCCTTCCCCTCCCCCGACAGCCACCCCTTCACACCTGTCTTAGGCTGACAAAAAGTGCCTGGAAAGTGTCCTCAGTCAAGCCTTGGTTTTCTCTCTTAGGTACTAGGAAGCCGGAGGGGAGACAGGCTGAGGGGATGCTCAGCCTCAGGAAGATATTGGGTTTCTGGTCCCAGGGAAGGGGGCAGGGAGGATGCTGAGTCATTTCTCAGTTGCTTATGTGCTGATCAAGATTCAAGATGAAGCCTGAAGTATTGGGGTTCCTCCAGAGGCTGCAGCTCCCTGCCCCACCTCTGAAACCAGTACCTCCTGGTCTGTGTAGTCGCTGCACCGGCTGGCCTGCCTCTGGGTTCCGGGGCATGGGAGGGGTGTTTAAAACCATTTGGGTGTAGGAGTCCCTTCCTGCTTGCAGGCAGCCTTGGAAAGGATCTCCCCTTCTGTGGTGCAGGCGAGGATAGAGGTCCACTGGAGGAGCGCCCACGAGTGCCAGTTACTCTTTCATCACTTCCTGCTTTGCAAGGTCCAGATTACAGGAAGCCCCACGGAGGATACCCAGAGACAGGGAAGCCAGGCTCCCTAAGAGGTGTTAAATGTGGAGCTGCAGAGGCTCTGACAGGAGAAAATTGCTTTCAGCTGCCAAGATCAAGGCAGTTTCCTCGAGAAAATGCTAAGCTGATGGATGAGGGGAAGGGTGCTGCCAACCCTGGGAGAGAGCAACTCGAGCAAAAACAACAGGGCATGTCCAGGAGCCCCAGGGAATCCTCAGGCTCCACATATTCCAAAGTGAGCCCCCTGTCCTCTCTACCTTGAGCTGGTTCCTCCATCTCAGCATCCAGGTTAGTGACGTCAGATGCTTTTGCAGGCTAATGTACAGACTCCCCAAAACGATTGGCCTCCCTCTCCCTTTGAAGCACCCCAAAATCCAGCCTTGCTGCCCCATCATCATGACCCCACCACAGTCCCTCACTTCTCCCAGCCTTCATATGTCCTCTCCTGCCTTCATACTCCTCAAGACCCTGTGTTCTAGGGAGCCAGGTTCTCAGGGGGTCTTCCCCCACCCTCTCCCCCTAAACTAGCGAGTTACCCCTTTCCTGTGCCCAAACCATCAAAGGTAGATGCCAGTCCACAGTTCTTTCTCTGTGTGCCCATCTCCCGAACCAGTCAGGGAGCTCCTCCTGGCAGGGTCTGCAACCTCTTCATCAATATGTCCCTAGTTCCTGGCTCAGGCCTCATACATAGTATTATGTGGATGGGTGGATGAAGGACTCGGCTTGGTGAGACCCACCTATAGATGGGAAGGGTAGGGAAGTTAGGCCACTGTCTGCTGTTGGCCCTGAATCCTTCCCTCCTGAGGCCCCACACACCTGCCCCAGAAACTCATTCTTCGTGGGCTCCCAAGAGGATGCCCTCACTATCACCAACTCCTGGGCCATTTGAGGACCACAGAATACCTCTCCAACCTGTAAAATGGGGAGAAATCCTGTTTCTTTTCAGCTGAAGTAGGGTTAGACTCTTTCACAATATTTCTTTTAAGAAACTAAACAGAAACACAGAGGCCTAGAAAACTGGGAGGGGGAAGGGTTACACAACCAAAGGTCTGGGTGAGCAGCTATTGTAGGCCAGGCCCGCGTTACGCTCCCCTGGGAAGGATGCCAGATGAGGAACATAGTGCCCACAAAGGACCTATAACAAAGGGCAGTGGAAGTTGGCATCTTCACACCCAACTATGACGTGAGACTGACAGTAAGAGCTGGGTGGAGGCCCAGGCGAGGCAGAAATGCTACTACTTCCTCATTCCCTAATGCTGACCCCACGACCTCCCACCTCCAGCTTGTTTGCACAAAGCATCTCACCAAACCCCGTCTTGGTACCCATTGCAACCAGGCATCCACTGGCCCCTCTGCTCTCTCTCTCTAAAGCAGACCCTTCTGTCTTCATCTCCCATCTGATTAAGATTCTGTGTGACATCATTTCACCCACTCCTTGTCAGAGTCCTCAACTCCTTAGCCCCCTGACCTTTGGCCCCACCCTCCCAGCAAAATCCCCTCCGTGGAGGAATCCCCCACCCCAACTACCCATCTGCCTTCACTGCGCCTGCTGCCTCGCAGGGAGCAGTTACAAGAGAATCCACACACCAGGCAGCCTGGTGTCGCCATGAGTCCTCACCCCTCATCACAACCAGGTCCAAAACGCAGTTACATTGTGTTTCCCTGGCCAGCTCCTGCTCCCACAGCGGCCCTCAAGTTCTCTCCTCTCCCTTCACACCCCAGCATCCACTCTCCGCAACCCCCAGCTCTCTGCAGACTTGGCCTCCCTCGTCGTGAGAAAGTGAGCGTGGCGGGAAGCTTCCCCCTCGCTCCCCCGGCATCACTCCTCCTTTACTCCTGTCTGTCAAATGGTCTTGTCAGCCCAGCTGAGGAATCTGGACTTGGTCCTCAGGACACTGAGAAACATGGAAAGATTTTAACTGGGGGAGTATTCTGACCAGAATAGGACTTGGGACTTGCTGGCTGCAATGTGAAGCCAGGATTAGCCTAAAGAGAAAAAGACTGAGAAGAAATGGCCGTGCAACCCTAGAAGTGCCATCTCAGCTGGATCCTGATGGGTGAGAACCAGCTGGCCGAGCTCCAGAGGTTGGGAAGAGGATACGAGAAAGAAGGAACAGCAGAGGAAGGGCCCAGAGATGAGAGAACTGGCTCCTTCAAGGAACCAAGGAGGGTTTGTGTGGCGGGAACGCAGAGTATTAGCTGGCGAGAAGCAAGGGTGCAGCTAGGGGGAGCCCTGGGCCCCACCCGGGCTTCAGAGTCTCCCTAGCAGGGAGTACAGTTTCTTAAGGCCAAGAGGAAGCCCAGTGAGGAACTGTAAGCAGAGGAATGGCCTGGCCAGAGTTGTATTTTAGGACAACCATTCTGCCTGCCGCAGGGACAATTAATGGGATAGGGTAAAAACGGAGGCAGGGAAGTCAGTTAGTTGATTGATGCCATTTCCAGATGCAAGACAATGGGGGGTGCACAAGGGGGTGGCTGCTGGGACAGAGTCAGGACAGTCTCCCTGGATGCTCAGTGGGACTGACAGGTCTTTGTGACTGACTGGAGGAGCTTTTTCAGGATGGGAGAGATGTGATGGGTCCATGTTGACAGAAAGAGAAGTTTAAGATACAAGGCAGAGAACAGGGTGGTCTTAAAGTCCCTGAGCAGGGAGGCGAGGAGGATAGACCTGGGCCCAGGATGGAGGGATTGGGCTCATAACACTATTTGGATAGGAGAGGGGTAAGAACGTGGACCCAGGTAAGTGTGTGGGTTGGTAGTAGGAAACCGACCAACAACTACCCTCTCTGTGAGGCGGAGGCCATCTTAAGAGCTGCTCTGGAGAATAACCAAGAAAACAGCAAGATTGCCGAAGGCTTCAGAGCCCATGGAAGACTGGAGACCAGCCATGAAGAGAGTCACGGCCTGGGTGATGAGGGGGTCTCCTCAGCAGTACATGGTGGGGTCGGGGGGAGCTGATGAGGGTGGCAGAGGGTGGGCTGGCCCTCCCAGACGCTCCCACTGGGTGGCAGGAGAGGTAGGGAGAGAAACTTGCGACATGTGCCTCCTGGGTCACCAGGATGCATATTCCAGAAACTTCCAAATCTGTTCCAGTCCAGGTGGTCCTTCCCTCCTATCTAGTCCCACCCCATGTGAGACCTCCATCAAGGTGCTTCCCCTGGGCCTCGGGGGACTGACACAAGGCACCTCATGCTCAGCTCTGGCACGCTGACCAGATTGCCTTCTGGACTGCTCCCCAGGGCCCGTGAGACTGCCCTGGGCACAGCAGGGACCGACCCGCCCAGGTCCCCTCCCTGGCCAGGTATGGGACACACCACTTCAACCCTCACAGCCTGCCCTCACGAACCTGAAATTCTTGGGCCTAGTTCATGTAGTCAGGGGTGCCAGCCCAGGCAGGGGGGAGCAAGTCCAGCTACCAGAATGTTCCTTCTCTCAAGCTGTTTGATCACTGCCTAGAGGTGAGATAATGGTTTTGCTGCTGAATGAAGCAGGTGAGTTGCAGTTAACTTGTCTGAGCCTCAGCTTCTCAGGCTAGAAAACGGAGTGCCTGCCCAGCAGGGCTATTGTAAGGACGTGTCAAAACATCAGTGTTACGGTTCCTGTTGTTCTTGTTGCTATCATGATATCCTATAGCACCAGAACTTCTAATTCAAGTCCTTTGCTGTCCTGCCCAGATCTTCTGACCTGAGTCCTGGGAATCAGAGATGTTCAAGCCCCAGCCCAGACCGAATGAGGAGGGAGGAGGCGTGACAAGCCTCTCCTGCAGGATTAAGACCGATCACCTGTTATGGGGAGCGATGGCCCTGGGGATGCCCACAGGGACAGATGCTTGCTCTGTTTCACTTTACACATCACTCATTTAATCTTTCTAAAACTGTGAGGCAAGGACTATTATGATCCTCATTTTCCTGAGAAGAAATTGGAGCACTGAGGAGGTAAGTAAGTTGCCCAAGGTCACACAGCACATAAATGGCAGAGCTGGGATTTGACTCCAGGTAATCTGTGCTCTCTACTCAGTTTGCTGCTCTGCTGGGCTTCTTAAACCTCATGCCTGTGGCTTGTGTGACCCCGTCTTTGGCCTCCACACAAGGGCAAGGGATGTGGCCTTGCTTTGGGAGCAGCAGGATGAGGCAGCCGGGAAGCTAGGTTGTCCTGTGCAGTCAGGTCTGGTTGGGGCTCCCAGGGCAGCTGCTGAGGGGTGAGAACATGGTGCAGGGTTGGGGGCAGAGGCGGGCTGGGACCAGGGTCTGAAGCCAGAAGAGGGCAGACTGGAGGAGGGGTCTAGCCGAGTCCCAGACCTCACAGCAGTTCTAGCATCCCGGCCCTTTGAACCAGGGGTCCCAAGTGGTGCTGTCTTTGTGCCTAGGGCCAGACACAGGGAATGCAGTGGGAACCAGTCCTCAGGGGAATCCAGCAGG